GAGGTCCGTCGGGGGACGGGGGGAGGTCCGAAAAGGAGTGCAGAGACAGGAGTGACAGGAGCCGGCTGGGCCTCCACGTGCACGGGAGGAGGGCCAAACCCTCGAAGAGTGAGTTCATACAGCACTGGGCGCGCTCCTGGCCCCTGCACCCCAAGGAGCCGTGTGGTTCTCTCGTCCCCCGCGGTCCTACCTGGTCGAATGGTGCTGTCCCTTCCAAAGAGATGGAGGCGTCTTCGCCCCAGACAGAAGTGCTCGATGATGTGGAAGATCTCCACCGGCTTCTCGATGTTGCCGATTTCGGGCTCTTCCGTGATGATCAAGTCGATGTCCACGTTGGCGTGGATGAAGTCGCCGTCGGTGCTGCGCTTCACGGTCCCTTTGATCCCCATGAGGCAGTGTTCCTGGAGACCGGGAGAGCGGACCGGTCAGCCTCATGCCAGAGTCGTGCTTCCTAACGGTCAGCACTTCTGATGTCCCCAACTCCACAACAATCCTCGATTCTCTTAGTTTTTGGGCAACACAACAGGAAAACTTGGATTTCTGGATGGGGGAAGGTGCCAGGGAAGCTAGACCTGAGGGCACTGAACTTGGCCATGGCGTTTCAGAACTGAGTGGGTGACCAAGGAGTCTTTGCCTCTGCAACGCCTGACAGAACTTGTTTTCAAGTTATGGAAACATGGCACTTGACCTTGGAACCTTAAAATGACATCGTGCCAGACCTCGCATGATCCAAGATCAAACTATCCTCAAGGTGTATGCCTTTTCACACGAGGGGACCTTAAGCACACCGAACACAAATAATGTGACAATCAAACCATTTCTTTCCAACCTCTAATCTGGATGGCAGGCGTGTGCAGTCAGTAAAATGTAATCTCTCATGGCTCCATGGATCAGTAGTGGTAAGGATGGCTTGGGCTCCTTCCGAAGCATTTTCCAGCCCAAGAAAGATTCAACAAGAAAGACCCTCTCCCTGGGGTGACTGGCTAGAGGACAGCTTGCTCAGGCCGGGTACTAGCAGGGCAGGCAGGGTTCTCGGGGACTCCTGTGTGGGCTCTCGGGGTCCTCGTGTAGGAAAAAGAAGAGGCAGGAGGGGCGCAGCTACGAGTCTGGCCACCCAGAGGAAGGGACCAATCTGCGGGCCGGAGCTACCAAGAGCCAAACCCGACTTAGACGCACGGCAGCTCAGGACACACAGGAAGATATGTGACCGTCTATGGCATTGTGGAGGTTGGTCTAACAGTGAATAAAATATTTTCAAACTCTAATTTGAAATGACTCATCCACCCCTATGTTCACTGCAGCATTATTTACAATAGGCAAGATCTGGCACAACCTAGTGTCTAACCTGTAGACAGACACTGTCGATAGATGAATGGACAAAAATATGTGTGTGGAATATTATTCAGCCATAAAAAACAATGGAATCTTGCCATTTGTGACAACATGGATGAACCTGGAGATTATTATGCTAAGTGAAATTAGACAGAACGACGTCTTGCCATTTGTGACAACATGGATGAACCTGGAGGTTATTATGCTAAGTGAAATTAGAACGACAAACATATGATTTCACTTATATGGAGAATCTAAAAAACAAAACAAATGAATAAATGGAACAGAAACAGACTCACAAATACAGAGAACAAGCTGGTGATTGCGAGGGGTGGAGGAGGATGGGCAAAACAGGTGACAGGATTAAGAGGGACAGCTTCAGCTGTCAGCCAGCCCCAGGACGTCATGAACAGCACAGGACATAGTCCATAATACCGCAATGGCTTCGTACGGAGACTTATTGTGATCGCTTTGTGACGTGTATAAATATCAAATCACCAGACTGTATACCCGAAACTAATGTAATACTTAAGTCAACTATACTTCGATTAAAAAAATTACCTTGTATTACTACAGCGCCCAATGCCATTCGTACAAGTCTAAGAAAAGAACCTTTCCACCCAAATTAAATAAATACTATATAGTTATTTGGAAAAGCTTGAGAGAAAATAATGAAAACGGTAACAGAGCAGTACAGGGCATACCTTTGTTCTCTGGAAGACAGCCTTTGGGTCTAAAGTCTTAGTCTTCCCAGGATTGTTCTTATTGGTTTTAATCCAACAAATATCTTCACATCTTCTGTAACCCCACTTGCGTAAACACTAGATAGGAAAGAATTATAAAAAGGAATCCTTAGCTAGAAGAAGTAATAAATAAAATAATCGACCAGAATTTAAAAACTTTGAGGTCTGAGACACTAAATTCCAGGTGTTGCAGTGATTTGTGTTTAGTGCAGAAATAGAAAAAAGAAATATCAGTCTCTAAATACACAGCCACCATACAGATACGTACATACCTTTTAGGTATGAACAATCTATATAATTAAATATCACAACGCAGGAAGGATTACGTCATACTCCGATTCTCTAAAGCCACTTTCCATGTCATCACTAAAAAATGGGCTCTGTCATTGCCATTCGGCTCCTCTTTAATCAAAAAATAATTCAAAATATAAGTGATTCCCACAACCTCAATTTTCTATCTACCGAGAAAGCTAAAAACTGTTGAAAATGGTCTAATTGATAACTTCCTTTCAAATGAGTCTTATAATGTTTTTTATATAATACTAAACCACAAAACATTCAAAGACCTAAAATTGTTACGTGTATCTCTTTACTGGGTAGAGCTTTATTTTCATCTTATACACTCTAGAAATCCGATCTGAACCTTAAGTGTCCTAGGCTCTGTTACGTGTGATCTATGACAAATACCAGTGACCACATCACTCGGAGTGGCATTTCGAGGGCCCACCACACGGAGGTGCTGTCTAGCTGCCGGTAAAAAAACATGAGTAAGACCTAGTCCTCATTCCTAGTTGACCCAAGTACGAAGTGGGGGGATATGGGTAAATCGTGTAGTGCAGGATCGCTGGTACTAGGGTCAGGACATATGACACAGTGCAGCATGAAACATGCACTCTTCAGGAATGCTGCCACTGTGAAAGGGGTGATCCACCTCAAAATGAAACCTGGATTTTTATTATAAAATCTCAAAAATCAAGATCAGTCTCTGTTCCTGTTGCCATAGGTTTGTTTTGCACTGGATGCTCCTCAAACACCACAAGGGCCCAAGTCCTACATGCCCTAATCAATACCAAAAGCTCATGAGGATTTCTCACGCTGCATTATTTTAATAATTATTTTTGCCCCAAATCTGCTTTCACCAACATGATAAAGTGCTGCATAAACAAATAAGATAAAACCTCCTAATCATTTTCAACCTAATTTTGAGGGCAGGAGGAAAGTCTAGAGCTAGACATTAAAGCTAAAAAAAAAGTAAATACTAATATGCCTATGAAACCATACAGTATGCTTCTATTTTTGTAGTTTGCCTGCAGCACCTTGGGGAAGTGCCCGCAAAAAAACAGATACTCGACTGGTATAGTTAGCACAGTCGGCTTATCCTGGAGTTAGGAAACGACGGAAGGAATGTCGTCCAACAGTTTCAAACTTGCTAATTATACAAAGAAGACAAGGTCATTGTACAATTTCAGGATTTGGGCACGAACGTATCCCAATAGAACCCTACTTAAATTTTTCACCTGTCAAATGGACTCCTTCTAAAATTACCAGGATTAAATGAGGTCGCTTTCTGTATAACAATGTGTCTTAAAAATGCAAAATATCATCCAATGGCAAGTGAGGGAACTGAAGCCCACACGAGTAAGATCTCTTCACCTAGCATTTCCCTGTTGGACAGCAGAACCGGGCCAACGGAGACTCCCAACACCAGCCACAGTGCTCCCGCTGTTCCTGCATTAAAAAGCGTGTTGCTTTGTTTCCATCTATAAATCTAAAACATGCCAATCAAAAAAGTTCTGAAACACAATTAAATGTAAGGCACTTAACATAAATTGAGGTACTGTAACTTATTTTTTAGCCTCATTCATTCAAACTATGTTCCAGATGCTGTTATTTTTCCAACTTGATTTGGCTTCCATTTGGAATTCTGGCGTTAATGCGATTCAGAATACCTTTAAACTACTCATACTGAGCAGTAAATGTCTGCAGCTTTCTTCTGAGCTGTAATTTAGTTTCAAATCTCTAAACTGTTCTCTTCCTCCACTATAAATCATATTTTGATTTATTCATCCCTAGTACTAGTTAACGAAGGGGTCTTGCCTTTCGTACATTCTTTTGAATACTTTTTAAAAAAGATTTAAGTCCTTACTACTCAAGAATCAAAAAACAAAACATTAATCTTCAAATTTCTTGTGCCAATGTATTGTACTTTTTTCTTAGGAATTTAAAATCCACTTTTAAAAAGACTGTCTTACCACTCTTCCAAGGTCCAATCCTTCCCCGGAACCACACCAGAGAAAAATAAATGATCGAGGGGCTGCAATCTCATCAATTTCCAACTTCATAATCTATAAGAAACCAAAACAATATGGCATAAAGTATTTTCTTTCTCACTCGTCCTAAATCCAAAAGAAGAACCATTGAGATTTATCACGACTTTCAGTAGATGTATTTTTTTATTTTTTCAATTATAGTTGACACTATTTTATATTAGTTTCGGGTGCACTGCATAGTTGTTCAACATTTATATAACTTATGATCACCCCAATAGATCCAGTACCCACCTGGCATCACAGTCATGACAATATCACTGACTATACTCCCTATGCTGTACTTTACATCCTGGGGACTACTCTGTGACTACGGATTTGTACTTCTTAATCCCTTCAGTGTCGCCCAGTCCCCCACCCCCGCCATCTGACAATCACCTGTTCTTTGTAGCTATAAGTCTCTTTGCATTTTGTTTGTTCATTTATTTTGTTCCTTAGATTCCACATATAAGTGAAATTATATGGTATTTGTCTTTCTCTGTCTGACATTTCACGTAGCATAACACCCTCTATGTCCACTCATGTTGCTGCAAATGGTAAGATTTCATTTTTTTAAAGATGCATTCTTTAAATGTACTCATTTTCATTAGTAAACAAAGGAAAATGAATTTTATCCTTAAAAGTTCTTGTTCTACATTTCCTTATTCTACGTTGACAACACAAACATATATGTGCATACATACACATATAGATGTAGCTTTTTATAATAAGTAGTTTGAGAACAATCCTTGGCCATGTACAGAAAAATAAATGAAAACAGGTTAAATTACCCCAAAGTTAAGGGCTAAATTAAAATGAAATATAACAATAAATGTTTGGGGAGAACTTGGTTTCCAGTATCTACAGAAGAACAGTCCTAGATAAAATAAATCAATATACACATTTTATTATGTCTATTTTGAAATACCAAAAAGTTATAATCTATACTTTTGTTTGCCATGCATGTGTGGAATGTCACATTAAAAAAAAAAAGAGTTCTTCAATAATTAAATCTCTAAATTTGGGACTACTGTATCACGTAAAAATGCCTGTAGAAGCAACCATTTTATATGGTAGGTTTTTTCTTTCAGCTCTCTGTGAAAGTTAAGAAGTTTCAGAGGCCACGGCTAAAGCAAAAATTTATCAGTTTCAACATTTAAGAAAATAACTTCTACCTGAAAAACAGATCCATTTAAGTTATAAACATAATATCTCAAAGTTATCTAGATAAAAAAAAACACATTACTTGACAGTAATAATGGAAATAAATCACAATATGTAAAATCTATTCATTTTTATGAATACTTCTGACCTTTTAAGTCTTGAAAGCTCATTTATTTTCATAGAAATGTGAATAACTGAGTGTACAATATACAGTATTCCCAAGACGTAAGGTTAAAGACTTGTAGGAATATAAGCGCTTGTTTAAAATGCCAACACTCAAAGTGTTTAGAACGCCATCTCGAGAATGGTTTGCTCAGTGTTCTCCGGTGTGCGTCCTCACTGATCTGTAGCTGCGAACGTACAGATCTATGCAGGAATGTGCGTGTGTGTACGGGACATGTCTACTTCTTCCGCTTGAAATCCCTGTCCCACCCCTTTCTTCATCTGGCCAATTCCAACTTTGCTATTTATACTGCTCATGTGTCGCCTCCTCTTTGTCCGCGTGCCCCACTTTCTTCAGAATAGGTGGTTTTTCTCAGATCACCTTAGAGAGGCCTCTGTCACTGAACCAACAGAACAACAACACAAGTATCTGAGTGGGTCGGTGTTCGCCCCATTTACAGTGTGCTCCAGGTCTCCAATATACAGCACGCTGCCTGGCACAGGGTGGTACTTAATTAATATTTGTTAACTTTGCTTAATTTTATTTAGAAAAATATAACTATCAGTTACATTATACTGAAATTGTATCTTTTTACCCATTACACTGTCAGTTTCTTAAAGAGTAAAAAACTATGCCTTACATATATATGTTTATACTCTGAAGTTCACTAAAACTAACCAAATGCAAGATGAGCTATCAATCATTCTGTTTTTAGACTTTTCTAGCTGCACCCCCAAAGACCCTAACTGCAACTGTGCATCTTCTAAGACTATTTACCACACGTGCAACTTTTGCCTCAAAAAGATACCATGATATTTGTTTATGTACCTTTGGCCTTCGGCTACAATATATATTGCAAATCGAGATTTATGATCCTAAAAATGTAGGGCTGATATTTATCATCTTACTTTCTGATCAAACAAACGTATACTCATTTGAAACATAAATAACCCATCACAACGGAGAAAGTCTCATCGTACATCATCCCATGTCCAGCACTTCTCGTTGGCAGTGATGCCAGTCTCTCTGTAATATTCCTCTAGCGGGGGTTCCAGAAGAATCACATCGAATTTGGGGGTCAGTTCTCTGATGTCAAAGGCTTCTATATCTGCTTGTAAATACCTATTTGAGTAAAGCATAAAAAGTGACTAAGAGATTTTCAAATCCCTTACAGATGGTAATGAAAGAAATTTAAATATTTCTGAACATTATTTGCAAAGCAATCATCAGCTAATCACCAAATGCCTCTTCAAGGAGGGACATCATCAGTACAGACTGAGCATCTGCCAATGTCCTTCTGTCAGATGTGGACATAATTACACTAAAGTAATTATAGTTCCCCACGTACCTCTAGAATATAAACTTCTCGATTTTTTTCATTACGAGTCCACATTCAGACCTAAGACTCTGAATCTCTTTCCATTATCACCTAAATTTTCTAACGAATGTCACACGACTTTTTTTTCTCAATTGTATAGTTAGGTTAGAAAAACTTTCTCTGTACATTTTAAATTCCTCTCTCTAAAGAACAGTTTATAAAGTTTCTGAATTTTGTTTATATTAATAGTCTTTCTGGCCACCCTAGTGTAAATTCCCACCAGCCTTTGCTGAAAGGTTATGTCCAAAGAGGTGAAAAGTGTTTTGAATATAAACTATTTTGAATGTAAGAGTGTTTTAAATAGGATGACTAAGCATCTGCTAGTATTTCCCTGACATACTCAGACTTTTATTGTGGCTCTTCTAGTCACTAAGAAGACACATTTCAGCAAACTGTTAAATGTACAAAATGTTCAAAGTAAGCTAAATAGATTCTTCAATTTCAAAGACTTTATACACATTTCTGAAGAAAATATCATCCTGTTTGGCAAAGGTTAAAGGAATTGCCATATTCCAAAAATGTTAAGAATAGCAGCCCTGCATACTGAGTTATAATTTTCATTTTCTTCTTTTCTTTCATCTAGGTTTTCTAAACTTTCTTCGATAAATTACTTTTTGAGCAAAGTCATTTCAAATCATTTTAAGTAAACTTAAGAATACAATAAACATGAATGATTTCCTAAGAAAAAAATTAAAGCTGCTTTAGCAAATTACTGGAAAGACTGAAAACAAATTAAATGAAAACATACTGTATACTCATCACTGGAGTGTCAAACGAATGTTTTACTATACAGAAGAAATGTATAAGTTGTGCTGACCTTATATAGGTGTTGGATTATTTTTAAACAGAAAGGCTGCAGGAAAAAAATATATTTTAAGCCTGCGTTGAGAACAGAAGTAATTTAAAATGCTTACATAGGAGGAGTGTTGGATTTTGCTATCAGCTCATCCTTCAGCCTGATGAGCTCCCTCAGCTTCGGATACTCTTCAAATCTGTCAGCCAAGCCTGAGAAAAACGGCAAATTCTAAATTTCAATACAACTGAAGTTAATATTAGAGAATTCAAAGGTTATGAGCCTTCTCCGGAAAACAAAACAATACACACGCATCATTTACTCTCACGTGCCTTAAAGAAAGCGAATTTTGAGTGTTGTAAACATTCCATACACGCATTTTATATCTAATGTCATGTGCAGGTAAAAACCCAGGTGTCCTAAAGCCCAGTTACAGTCACCAAACCATTTAATTTCTCATATTTATTCAGTTAAACAGTCCGTTCATAACACCAAATTTAAGCATTCTGATCTCAGGAAAGGGAGAAAACAATTGCCTTTCTAATACGCTATTTTCCCCTTTTAGATTAAAAAAAAAAATTCTAAGGAATACAGAGAAAATAAGTGTTCTTTTATTTTTTATAATTAGGTAAAGAAAGAGACAATAATAGAGATGAGAGAAATATTGCTGATAATCTTAAGTTGGCTATGCCTTATGAACACGATCCCAGAACAAACCCAAGAGGAAGACAGCAAGTCCCTCACAGAAGATATGGTCTCGCCTCCCTCCCCCTAATCATCTACTTATTAAAGACAAGCTGCTTTCTCTAATAATACCTAGTACCTCGATATGTATAGATTTGTAAAGACCTCTGTTTTTTAAAACTAATCTTCATACATATTTTCAGGCTTAGGACCTTGAAAATCATCTATGAGTTCCACAAAGGTTACTTAAAAAATAGAAGACTCATTGTTCCCATGTCCTCAAAAATATTTTAGATCTCTGAATCTCAGGAGAGATTTCAAGTAAAACAGCACAATGCCTGTTTAAATAACTGTAGGGATGAGGAGGTCTTTGATTTTGTGCTGCCAATGATACCACCAAGAAGTGAAAAGACAACCCACAGAAGAGAAAGAAACATCGGCTAATCTTATGTCTGATAAGAAATTTGTACTCGGAATATATAAAGAACTCTTACAGTGCAATAAAAAAAAAAAAATTAATTAATTAAAAAATAATGTCCAAAGGGTTTGGACATTTCTCCAGAAAAGTTATTTAATGGCCAATAAGCACTTGAAAAGATGCTCAATATCATTAGTCACTATGGAAATGTAAATCGAAACCACAATGAGATACCACTTCATACCCACTATGATGGCCACAAGCAAAAAGACAGACAACAACAAGAGTCCAGGATGTGAAGAAATGAATCCTCATACAGTCCTGGCAGGAATATAAAAATGGTATCAGTGCTTTGAAAAACTGTTGGGCAGTTCCTCAAAAAGTTAGACATAGCGTTATAATGACTCAGCAATTCCATGAGAAATGAAAACAAACGTCTACACAAAAAACTTTACATGAATTTGCAAACAGTGTCGTTTATAACAGCCAGAAAGTGGAGACGATGCGAACGAACGATCAACAAAGTGTGCTACATACACACCACGGGTTACTTGGCAATAAAAAGAAGTGAGGTATTGGCAAATGCTACGACATCGATGACCCCCGATGGAAGAAGCGGCACTGGGAACAGAGAGGGGAAGCCAATTCAGGAAAAATAATTACGTTAGAAATGATCCACCCACAAGATGTATACATTACATGCACGTGATCGGCAGTTAGCGACAGCATATTCCCAACAAATCGGACACACCTACATCCCTGATGAAATTCTGAGGTCTGTGTCCCGTGTCTACGAAATGTTGGCAGTAATCATTATGGGGATTTAAACTCTGCGTTCCCTAAAGAAAAATCAAAATTTAAAAATTAATAGCATGCACTCTGATATACTAATTCTGTTCTTTGTTTTTTATGAGGCACACAAAATATAAGTTGATTGATAGATTAAAAAGTTAATAATATTTGAAAACACCGCAACTGATAGTATTACTCTTTAGGAGCTACAGACATTAACACAGCACTAGCTCATCCTCAAGAGCCAAGGAGCAGAAGACCATTTCATAAATAATTTTAAATCTTTATTTTATAACAATGATTCCTTAATGACTAAAAAAAAAATCTGGAAAACAAATAGGTCTTTAAAATCTTTTCTGGTACAGAGCTGAAATGTGAAGTTATAAGATTTGAAAACTATTTACCTTAAGAAAAGTACTAGAATCTTTATAAATCTCTTCTTCATATGGCAAATTCTCTTCCTCCTGTTGCAGCTCTAGTTCATCCTTGGAAAAAGATTAAGCAGACATTTTATGAACAGGAGGGACAGTTTACATATTATGATATCCTGACTAAGGCTCAACATAAATATTTTATTTCTCTAGTGGATAATAAATTCTTCAAATTATCATTAAAGACTTTGCCTTCTCATCATTAGATCTAACTAGCTTATTATTTTTATAATAAAACAAATTTTATTTTCATTTCCATCAACAATAAATGTCTATAACAATGTTTTGACGAAACTGTCTAGAATTATTTAATCTCAAATATAATATTAGAATTTAGCTTGAGTCAAAAGATGTGACCACCAAAGAACCGATTTTGTTTCTAGTATCACAGAACTCTCTAGAGATTTACTGAAACTATGCTTTGCTTCCCCGTTAAATAGAGTTGCAAAACAACTTAAAAAAAATGGAGATACGTTTTTCATAATACTGTCAACTAACTATTGCAAATATAAGTTTAGAGGTTGGGTTTTTTCTTGGGCTTCTTTTAGAAATGGTTCTAAAAACTGTTGTCAAGCCCACGAGTTTTCAAAATATTTTAGCTGTACTGCCCTATATTGTTACCAGTGAATAACATGAAACAAAAGATAGCCATTCGAAATCTAATCCAGTTACCCAAAGTTTCTGATACGCTTACCTCCTTACTTCGATTTAAGAATATTACTGCCTAGTGCTTACCAGGCATTATGCTAAGTGCTTTAGGTACATCACCTAATTTGATCCACGCAAGTCTTACGTTAAAATAAGGATGCTGATTTAAGATCTTATTAACTGATTACACATATGCTCTATTATACCTACGTATATTAAATTATACACGTGACAATTTTAGACACTTTAACATTCAGCTTTCTGTCAACTCTGTTTTCCTGGATAAGAATCTATTACTGTAAGAATTTATTTTTCTTGGCCACAGAGCAGCCCTATTCTCCACTTGCCTTGTATTCTTCCACTTTGTCTTCATCTGTCTCTCCTTCGTCCTGACATTTACGTTTTGCATTTGGAGCAGAGGTGTCATAGGAAGCCCTGCAAATTAAAACTGAAGCATCACACGCAAATATACACAAGACGTATAAATGCACCTATTAATAACATTAAACAATAGATAATAAAAACAATACAAGGCAAATTTTCCTGATTAAACAGTATCTATCCATCCAATTTATAAATCAACTAAAAAGTCGCACAACCTGATAATTCTGTACTTGATTTTTATAGGAAAGCAACCACGTGAGAAAATAAATCGTTATAAGGGATGTACGGCAAAAAGAAACTACTATATTCCATATCATTTTAATTTCTTGAGCAAAACCAATGCTCAAATCAATAACTAGAATACTGAAAAATTCTGAAATGCTTTGTGAACTAGCAAATGATTACCACTTTTAGGGTAAAGTCTATTTTCTTTTATAGAATTCTTTAAATATAATTATTCATTTATGGTATATAAGCTAATTCTTAGTCTAACATTCCATTTCCTAACTACTTTGCAAATTTCCTTTATTAAGAAGTATCTCATAATTCATGAACAATAAAAACCAGTGTTTCTGAAATCTTCATTTCGATGCCTTCCGTAACAACACACTTCACACCTGAGACTGTTTATTAAAACAATGATCCCATCACAATATTAACATGCCACTAAAAACTGCCCGACTGACCTGCAAGTTTCTCTTGTTTCGGCAATCTCTCTCTGCTCATCTTTGCTGTTCAACACAGCACCAATGCTGTCGGCACTTTCGGCTCCCAGCTGAGAAGCAGCAAATCAAAAGTTAGATCATAAGGCATTAGCCTCTCTGGCCATTTAGAGCCACATCTAATATACCAACTATTAAGAAAAACCAAACATAAAAGCTGTAACTACCTCAGCAGACAAATGGACTGATTAGCTTGTAGGACAATTTGGAAATACCTTGGAGCAAAACCACAGTAACTAAGAATGATTTTTGATGGCTAAAATGCATTTAATTATTTAGTTACGTTTGAAATTAAGACACTTAACTTTGCCAACCTTTTAAAGTAAATAATAAAACACAATTTAGTAGTAGTTGTAATAGCCAAAAAAAGCAGCTGACATAGTATTTATAGTGGAGTCGGCAATATGTTAAACACGTTGCATCCATCCACTCACACGTTATACCTTATCTCATGCTCTACTAAAACGCTATTAAGTTTTATTCAAGCCAAGTCTTTATGTAATTATAGGCACAGTACTGAACTTTACTCATTCTTTAAAACAGTAATGCAAATTCTGGTTGGCAGTTGGGGAGATTTTGCAATACAACAAATGTAAACAAATTACTGGTTGCGACAAGGCTGAGCAGAGTCGCATCAGTTCATGGAGCGCTTTAAAAGCCAGGCTAAGAAGAGCGGAATGCAATTTCAAGGCCACGAGGAACCACCCAATGCTGTGATGCACAAGAAGAGCATGAGGAAATCTGCATTAAACACCTAGCTCGGGAAAAGGAGAAGGCACACTGACACATCGGAGCTGCCAGTCGCCGGCCTTGATCTTCATCTCGATCTTTTGCTCTACCCATGTCATGACTCCCCTAAGGTTCTTCCAATGATATAAATCTCTTCCAAAATATCTACTGTTCCTGAAATTTTAACTCTTCCATAAGACATTCCAGACCCCTATTCTCCTTAGCCAGAGACACACCTACTGTCCATGGAAGGAAGCTGGAATGCTTTCTAACCGCCTCACGGCTGATCCCTCTTTTCACAAGTTATTTCCTCAAAGAGGGTTCTTCCATGAACACTGTACATAGAATAAGTAGCCCCCTTCCACGATTCTCCTTTTTCTTTTCCTCATTCAGATCACGGAACTTAATATAACCTTATGAGTTCACAATTTAGTTGTTTACTCCCTATTTAACTGTTTCGTAGTCTCTATCACAACTTCCAATTATTTTATTTGTATACTCCAATTATTTTATCGGTTTACTTTCATTTACTCCTCCCTCACTGAAATGTAAAATCCAAAGGGAAACTCTACTGACATCAGTACGTTCAGCAGCTAGTATAATGTGACTTATGGTACATGCTCAATAAATATGTGAATGAACCAATGAGATTTCCTACTAGGCCCTAAGTTAAAAAACAATGCATTACAAGAGAAATGCTTTAAATCAAAATTCTGCTTACATATGAAATTGTCTTCTCATGCTCCGACCTTTTTTTTTTAATTGTGGAATGACCAAATTAAGTAAATAACAGAGTTTTCATTAATGGTATTACTAAATATATTACTTGCATAATTATGACAATGTGGTATTGTTTGACAGCACATGTGATTTTTTTGGAAACAAAGCTACAGGTTAAATAACAAGCAGGTGTAAACTGCTGGTGGCAGTATCAACTGCCATCACTGTGGTCTGGGCTTACACACTACATCCAGTGCTTCATCTAGCAGGCAAAAGCAAACCAAGCTAATGATACACACTGTGCTGTGCTCCACTCTATTTACCAATCAACAAATGTTTATTCAAAGCTTTGGACAAGAAATAAAGTTAGGGTACAGGATTAACCCAACAGGAATTCAGTGGCTTTTCACTCAAACCGTATGTATAAGTAAGGACAATGGAAGCTTAGAGGAGGAGCCTAAGCCATGGAGGTCAGCAGAGGTTTCATCACTAAGCCCAAGCTGAGCTGTGCCATAAAGGATAGACAAAAATCGGAAAGACAATTTTTTGAAAAACATAAAGTATATATTACACACGTCATGTTCTGTCTGTCGTGTTCATACAAAGTAGTGAAAGAGGGTGAAATCAGTGGCAAACTGCGAGCCTGTCACTGATGACGTTGGACGTCGTGACTCAGGTGGACCGGTTCCTATCCAACTGGAAGACCTGGTGAAACTCAGATGTACTGGAAAGGCCTAAACTGCAGCCTGAATTGTGGAATTGAGCACAAAATCTTAATTCTTTGAGCTTTATTTTCGTTATCTGAAAGACGCAGATAGCACCTGACATGTATGATCAAGGATAATGTGTGTAAAAAGCTTAGTAAAATCTGGCATTTAGTGAATGGCAGCCATTTTCAGATTTTATGTACTATGGACGCTCTTGGCGAGTAGGGGCTACCTGGTAGTCACGGCTGAACTGCAATGCCTACTAGTGCCTGGCACATAGTAAGACACTCAACAAATAATTGTCCTATCATGTTCTTTGAATCAAACAGAGTTTGAATTCAAACTAAAGAGCAAGAACTTGGTGGTAAGAAGCGGCTACTTGAAAATAAAAGGTAAAAGAAGTTGAGAAAAAGGATTAGAAAAGATACCTGATTTGTCCAAGACCATAATGCCACAGGGACAGGAACAGCTCTGATTCCAAATTCTCACATTTTTAACACTATGTCATAAGTTTTCATTAGGTCATAAGAGGGAAGGTTTCAGACCTCCATTTACTAAAACCAAGATTTAGCACTGAAAAAATAACAATAAGATGCTTCATTAAAGCCTATGAGCATGTCCATTCGTACCACCTGCATTTTCTGCATGTGTGCTCTACTAATCGAGTGTTAACTTACACACTCATACACAAGAAGCAGTGAAGAAAGCTCCAGAGAAACAAACCTGAGTTCAATTTCTGTCCTAGCACTGACTGATTCAGAGCCAAAATTACTTAACCTCTAGAGCCTCTGTTTCGTTATTAACACTACTTATATCAAGGATTTGTTGTAATACACAGAATATGATTCAAATATTTGCTATGGATGACGACGGGGTTACTGTACATTGCACAGTGGCCTGCAATAGGTAAGATAGGGAATCTAAAATTTACACTCAGGTTACTGTCAGTGCAGTCTTTAGATATGATCCCAGAGAAAATTCTGTAAACCTACTTTACGATGAAGCCACTATCTTAAGAATGAGGTGCTAACTACAAGGCAAGGCAAGCCACAGAAGACCATTGAAATAGCCAAGAGAAACTCAGGGGGTAACCAGTCACTCTTCCTTGCGTCAACTGCGGTAATGCAGTCGCGAGGACCAAAGCGCTCCGTCCCCACCACTGGGCACTAGCTTGCATTCAGCAAAGGTCGAAAAGCAGTCGTGGCGTCCGCTTCAGCACCACCACGACCGCGACACCAAATGGAAAACATGAGGGGCAGCGCGGGAGCTGGGAACAGGAAAGGTAGGCAGGCGCAGGGATGAGGATGAGGGGCAGTGAGGGGGCAGGGAGCAGAGGGACGGGGAGGGCGGCCGCGCACGCGCAATCGCGAGCTCTCGCGGGGCCGCCGACCTGCTGCGCAAGGAGCTGTCTCCGTAGCTTCTGCCGCTCCCGAATCTCCTGCAAGCGGCTGTCCATGTCGCAGCTCCCGCTTTCCGCTACCCCGAAAACTTGGCAATTAGCGGGATTTTGCTTCCGAGTCTGCGGAACACGAGATCAGGCTGGATCTTGAGGCGGCGGGTAACTTTGATCTTTTCCTCAGTAGGCATTTCCGGCGCGTCCAGAATTGGCTCGCCAACCCGGAAGTCCCGCCTCCTTCTGGACGCCGAAATTTGACGCCACAGGCAGGGGCCCAATGAGGGACGCCGCGGTGTGGGCGGGGTCTCGCAGCGCCCCGCCTCCCGGGGCCGTCCCACAGCAGCCGGCCTGGGCGGGGCGGTCGACGCGCTGGTCGCCTGTGCTCTCCTGCGACGTCAGGCTCCTTGGTGTGTCAGCCCTGTTTCCAAGGTGTGGACCGTTTTGTTGATTCCCTTCACATTAATTTCCCCAGTTGCTAGGCCTCACGTTTTCAGAAATTACCAGATAATCAGTTTTTTTTTTCTGAATGCACAAACTGATAGAGCTTTGAACTTCGGGGTGGCAGTGGCTGGTTAATCACCTCCTCGAGCCACAGTTGTCTCCTTGGTACACTGGGAGTGGGAAGGGTGCCCGCCTCACGGAGTAGTGAGCAGTGGAAGGACCGAGAGGCACAGGCGTCATGGCGTCGTTTATTATTATTGAGATTTGCCTGAGTTCTTTTCCTTTCAAGGGGGGAACGACCGCAGCATCTGCCCGCGCTCCTCCCCACACCTCACTGGCCCTTGGGGCTTTTCCCGTTTCACTGCGATGCATTCTACGGGTTCTTGCCTTCAGGGAAGCGGGCGAGTAATAACACAGGGGTCTTGGTTCATGTCCTAGAGGTCAGAGGCTGTGGGGACGCCTTTTTGTGCTTGTTCGTTTGTCTCAGCTGAAAATAACCCTGGGATATGGAAACAGCCTGTTGAAATCACCTGGGTCTGGTTGGAGTGGGCGTGATTCTCTCTCCTTGGGAAAGCAAGGGGCAAAGACCAGTCTTAACTTGTTCCCATTACTATCCACCACATTTATCATCTTATTTCAAATTCAAAGTGTCAGAAGTAGACTAAAACATTATGTTGCCTCAAGTTTAATTGGAAATTGTGGCAAGTACTTGCCAACAATAGTAACAAGTCTTTATTCCAGAGTGGATTTCATTTTTAAAAATAGTATTAAATCTTCCAGGTCAAAACCTGGTAAGTCAGAGTAGGCCAAAATGGCCAGGTGTAGATCCTACTAATTATCACGTATTTTTCAAGAACTAGCTCTAACAGATGATTTCAAAAGAGGAATTATAAAAATCTCTTGAATAACGGCAGCACTATTTTAAAAAGTACGGTAACTTCAAGGGGCCTTTCTTTACTAAAAGATAATACTAATTTGTACCGACGACTTAAAGCGTTTCTTTAAAAATCTGTTTATGTTACCTGGCAGTCATGTAAAATCAGTTCTGATTTGAGGTGTTTATCAGTGATGGGACTAGGCATTTGTGTGCTCAAATATTTAGTGATATTTATTGAGCATTTTATATGGCAGTCACTGTGATAGATTCTAGAGTCAAGTTCAGAAAAGATCAAAGACCAAATAAGTGAGATTTTCTTTATGGAGTTGACGACGTAAAGGAGGGAAATTTTTTCTTCTTAAGAGAGTGCAGCGCAGGTTGTTTGCCTGTAGTCTCTGAGCCCCATATTCACCTAAACTCTGCTCTGTGATGATGGTTGGGCTGGGGGAAGCAGTCTACATTTCCCAGCCTTCCTTGTCAAGTGGCTTCCAGTACCATTCTGCCAAGTGGAGGCACAGGCAGGAAATCGGAAGGTGGAACATGGGAAAACTGTAGTTCTTCATTTCTTTTACCCTCTGCTTCCGGCATCCTGACGAGGAAGGTGTGAGGATGGCTGTATCCTTTACAAAATCCCAGAGCCAGTTGCAGCAGCCCTTCCTTTGTGGTCCTGTCTTCCCTTTTCCCACCTTCGGGTGGCACCCCAGCAGTGAGTGCCCTGGAGCTCTCATAATACCCCCCTCACCCTCTCTTCCGTCAGCTCTAGGACTGGGAGCCACTTCCTGCAGTTAGGGATTTCTGATTTGATCTTACGGTGCCCCTTTTGCTCTTCTGGCCTTAAACACCTGTGTCAACATTTCTCCATAGTAAATGCTACCTGTTTAGAATTCTTTAAGTGATTTCTGTTTTCCTGCCTTGAACCTGGACTGATAAAGATTGAAAGGGGTACTTACCTTATAGTATTTACAAAGCCATTGGAATCCAGCAGAGGGTTGTCCCAGTTTTCACAAAGACAAGGCTATTACTCTGAAATCTGTCTCCCAAGTAATGAATTTTAAAACACCAGGCCAGCCAGAACACCAGTAGAGTACTGAACATACCTTTCAGTAACATCTCTTCATCGCTACAATGTGAGGGCCACTAGGGAATGTGCATGGTGGGGCCACAGGGAGGAGAAATTTGGAAAGTCTCCACATATAACTCACACTCTTTGAAAAAGCACTTTCTCTTCTAGGCACACACTTTAAGGAAGTAGTGAGAGAGTCACATAACAATTTATGCATTTCCCCTTAAGCTACTTGAGAATGACTCCTTCAAACCTATGCATCGAGCCGTCTTTTGTAAATCTTCCTAGAATGCCCCTCTCAACCTCAAACTTAAGAATAAAATCAATATCCCTCATTTTCCTGAATAAGGAGGAGTCCACCTCTCCCTCAGCCTCCACCTCACTCAGTGATTATAGCTCTGCCCCTGCCTCCAACACACACACTCACCATCTTCATTTCTGTAACCACAACCTATGGATGATATATATCCTGATTCATGTCCTAATTAGCTTGCTGCTTTCCAGTCTCTTCTTCCTAGAGATTTGTGGAAAAATAATTTCATCATTCTCCTCGGCCCAAAACATTTTTTTTTCTCAATGTCTAGGGTAGCACTGTCCAGTGGAACTTTCTATAATGATAGAAATGTGCTACCCGCTGTACCAGTATAGTAGCCACTAGCCATCTGTAGCCACTGAGCACTTGAAATGTGGCTACTATACTCAGGAACTCAATTTTTGTGATTAATTTAATTAAATTTAATTAAGCATTTCTTGCTAGTGGCTACCATATGGACAACACAGGTCGAAGTTCAAAGGAGTAAAAATCTAAACCATTTAAATACAGAACCCTCTGCTGCCCTGCTCAACCTCATTCTATTCTTTATGTATCCAGTCTTCCAGGCGTATCAAAGTTTTTGTCTTTTTTCCCCAAACATAGCTTCTTTCTTGTAGTTTTTATGAATAATATGAATAATATGTCATTTTTATGGTAAGAGAAAATTCTCCTAAAAGAAAAAGATAGACTTCAAAATGACTAGAAAGCAAGCAATATTTGGTAAGAGAACTCTTCAGGAAAGCACTTAATATAAAACGAATGTCAGAATCTCCTGATAACTTCTGCTTTCTCCTCATATTTTGTAAAGAACACTCAATTGATGTTTATTATCTCCTGTTCATTGAGGCTAACTCCCTCACTTTTCTCGGCTTTATTGGAAAAAGTGGTGTGAGCAGCTGTGTTGGTGAAGGAGAGGAGACAGCCATTAGCATTCTACATCATTCTTGCATTTCTAGCCATTAGGTGCCGAAGATTGCCCTGTCTGCATTTTATTGTGCCCAGCGAGACAACTGCTAAGGTCTAGAGCAGCTGTGCCTCAAGAGAATATTTCACAAGCCTTGTGTGTCAAAAAATGGACGACATAAGAAACAGGGATGAAGATTTGATCATCATTTGTCAATAGATTTTTTAAGGGTATCGTTATTACATAAATTATTTTTAAAACGTTGGTTTCTTGGAATAATGAGAGATTTTTCACAGACTACATGTTAATATCGAATAGAAATACATAGAGAATTGAATAGGTTTGATTTGATGGGGGAGAATTTGCACAAAACACGTCTAGCATCTTTTCAAAATGACCAAAATTGGGAGGAGAGTGAGAAAAGGCAAGGTGAAAAGAATAAATAAAAAGACATCGTAAGTAGTGTCAATATATTTAACTGAACAAACGAGGAAAAATATATAAATGTTGGTTAGTATAATGTTAGTTTGCTGTATCATTTGAGAAATACAGCACAGAATGGGGTGGATGCGTCCCGTAGGATGTGTTAAGTACGGAGAACGAGGAAGCAGGTAGGTAGCTCGTGAGACGGGCTGAGTATAGAGAGTAAGCCACCTAGTGACCTGAAGGATGTAAAGTTAGACTGAATGAAACGGATGGTGGGACAAACGAGTGTTACTTATGGATGGAAATGGAGAGAAAGACCAAATCACAGTCATGCCGTCTCTGGGCTGACAGCCATGTCACCCTTACACTGGCCACCCAGGGTCCTATTCTGGACCCAGATGTGCTGTGCCTAAGAATCGCTGATAGGACCTGTCAGCTAGCTGTCACAGGCTATTTGGCAAGCTACAGCTGTGGGGAGGCAAGTTCGTTACTGCTTCTCGTTAACAAAGCAAGTGTGTGTCGTTGGGCCCAGGTGTCTTCCATGTGGTGACCTCCTTGCTCAGACATCGGTGTCCCTAACCATCAGCGGGGTAGGCTGATGCCAGGCAGAGGAGAGCGAGAAGGAACATGAACATGTGAACAGTGCCTACTGGGGCTTCATGTAGCGTGGTCCTTCCCATTTGCACCCCGTCTTAAGTGTAGTAACGTACCCCACCTCTCTCCTCTTTAAAGTGATTTAATAAACTGCATGATTCGAGCATCTCCATTTGGCCTGTCTCGTGACTTCTGGGGTTGCTTGGCTCGTAGAATACTTGGAGGCCACCACTGCATCAAAGTAATTTCACATGACAACTAGAGGAAACAGAGAAATAAGAACATAGAGGTGTATATCATAAGCTAAAGTAATAAAAATGGGGAGAAAGGCAGTCGCAAGTCGTATCTGTGACTCCACTGAAAGGCAAAAACAGGCAAGGAAAGAGCAAACCAAACGACATGTGGGAGAGACTTTTTCCTCACTGATTTATGGAAAAGGGAAGAAGACAAGAAGGGAGAGCTGAGCGGTTTTTGACGGTGTAAACGTCACCGATTATGCTTTATCTCTCAGACCGAAACAACTGTTTCAGAGGTAAATACAGCAAAGTCCAGATGCAGGGGTGCGCGTCCAAGGCGTGGGCTAATCCCCGAATTTCTTTTTAATCCACTTCATACAGCATTGCAGTTCTTTTTAAATGTTCATTACATTTGGGAGCATCTAAAGTATCAAGAAGAGGAGAAAGTAAGAGGCTTTAAAAATATAATTAGGACAAATGCACATGGAATACTACTTTCTATCAAAGTTTTTATTATTTTACTATACACTTCCTGAAACATTCTCTGTAAATAGATTCCCGTTTTTAAGACACTAATAATGCAACTATTTTAAAGATCTATCTGTGGAATGAAAGATTTAGTAAAATGAAATATCCCTTTGAAATGAAAGTAAGTTGTTCCTAATTTATCTTTTATAATCTATTTTCTTTAACAGGTCACTGTATCTCTATATTACAGAAAACGCATTAAAGACTGTTCAGGTAAGTGAAATACTGTACATACAAAGCTTGTAGAGCTTTCTCTGAGAAAAGTATCATTTTTACATAAGAAATGAAATTGTTTATGAAGCAAATACTTTTAGGAGCTTACTCTGTAGTTTTTCAAAGAATACGACGTTTTGGAATGTAGCTCATTCAAATTAACAGCCTTAATGCTTTAATACTGTTTTTTAATTTGTTTGTTTTTAACAACTTAATTCTTACTTTGAAGTCGAATATTTTCTCTCTGCAGAATTTTAAATGGTAAAAACAATTAAAAAAAGAAAGTGCATTTTGTGATGAATTAAAGATAAAACCTACATTCGAAGAGAGATTGGTGGTACAATGTCATCATTAAGTACTGTTTATTTTTTAATGACCTGCTTAGGATTTTAAATATTTATATAAATGATATAAATGGTACAAGATCTGTTTTTGGATTTTACAAAGTAATAGTGAACTTCGTGCGATTAAAAAAATATATTATTATAAAGAAAACCCCTACTCTAGAGATTAGGGTTAGAAAAATAGTAAAAATTTTGTTACTTTACACCAAACCACTGTAGAAATGAATTTAGTCATATATATTCTTTAAAACATATGACATATTGCAGCCAATGCAGATATTGTAATTTTTACGATACTTAGAATTAAATTTTTAAATTCCAAAAAACTAATTTCCAAATGAATATAGAAGGCAATCCTTGTATATATGCTCCAAAAAAGATGTTAAAACCAAATGATGGCTAAGACGCTGCATCTCCTTCATCCGGAGGACTCGCTGGCTCTTCCCCTCCACTTCCGCTCTGGGCTTCTGGGTCACATGATTGAGCATTCGCTGGCCAGTCACTGGCTATTCAGAATTTCCCCGATGGGGTAATCTCTGCTGTTTATTCTCCTGTTCAGATGTACAGTCAATCAAAGCATGTTGAACCTGCTGAAAGATAGAGCAAAACAGCTTTGGCCGGTGGCCACAGAAGCTTGAAAAGCTTTATTGAAGGAAAAAATGGACATGTTCTCATTCTGGATGGGAGCTGGATTCTAACTTGAATTCCTAACTGTAATACTTCTGCTATTCCTCCAAAGACTGAACTTTGCATACAGCAAGACTTATCTCAAGCCAAAATGCAGTTTCACATTGTAGTGCTGAATTACTGCTTAGTAAGCGGACTAATAGGGGCGCACTGGGAATCCTGTTAGGAAGAAGTAACTCCCCTACATCTGCATCTGAGCCTAGGTCGGGAGCTGCTGAAAACGGATATTGCAGTCATCCTGAGGGGCACATAATTCTGTAAGCGTGTATACGTGCTAACAGCGTAACTCGGAAAAGTTCTGTTAAGACGTGTAGGAAGATTACCTTTGTATTTGGGACACTGAACAAGCGAGACGTGTAGCGTATGTTTGTAAAGCAGATTAATTCTTTTCTCCCACGACCCTCTGTGGGGCCCTGTCCGTGGATGAAAACTTAAGCAGTCTTCATGCTTTTTCTGGTCGTTCCTAAATATTAGAAACAGTTATTTGGTTATTTAAGCTTAACAATCAAAGTAGGAGGTCATGATGTAGTTTTGGCTTCTGAGTTAAGGCTTCTCTTCCCATGCAGCCTCCAGCCCGGTTGCAGGCGTGAAGCTCGCTGGTGGGAGCCGGAGATGAGAGGGCATAGCCTGCTGCTTCTGCCTTTCCCACGGGGATGTCTGGCTCCCTCTAGGCAGGCCTCCAGACCCCCCAAGGTTGGAGTCTGGGGACAGAGGGATTTAATGGAAGCAGGTGACATACTTCTGTCTTTATGGTCTAGCATCAGGACGTTCTGGACATACAGATGTTTAAAATTGACTCTCTTTCTCATGAGCATTTTCACGGGTTCTTCCATGACCCACTCCACCCATCCTGTGGCTTCCCATAGCAAGAGCTAACTGGCCATTGGCTTTATTTATTCACTTGCCTGCTTTCTGCAGAGGACCATTCACCCTTCCTGGCCATCCCTTCTGGCGTAACGTAGGTAGGCCCCGTGCTGGCTGTCTGAAGTGAGTGGCCAGACTCTGGAAGCAGTACTTTACTGCTGCAGTTCAGGGAAACCAAGCGGCCTCTGCACAACCACACTGCCCCTTCTTCTCTGCCCTCTGAGCTGCCCCCAGCCTGCCGCAGCCTCTGGACTCTCTAAGTGGGGAGCGAACGCCCGTGTCCACCAGCCCACGCATCCCCCTGCTGTCTCCTTGAGGCCTCCCCTCTCGATTCGGGGTGGATAGGGCCTCCGCCTACCACTCTTCCTGGAGGGGAGGGCTGTGATCCCCAAAAATGCTCTTTTTCCCATCTCTAGTTCTCAGCCATTTGAGACCTTCCAGGTGGGTCGTTTTTAGAAGCCTTCTGCACGAGTCCTATGGGGTGTTTGTGATCCTTGCTTTGTGTTTACCCGTTTGGGGGCCTAGCCAAAACTTCACAAGTCCTATTACTCATTTAAGCGAGAGATGTCTGAAAAATTTGTTAAGCTTTTATTTTGAGATAATTGTAGATTCTCATGCAATGGTAAGAAATAACACAGAGAGAACCCGGTACCCTTTACCCGTTTCTCCCGATGGTAACATCCTGCAGAGCCGTGCCACACGAGCGTGACCGGGACCCTGACAGTGATGGAATGTTTCCTTCCCCACAAAGCCCCCATCACAGCCACACTCGTTTCCTTAACCCCTGAAACCACTACTGGGTTCTCCATTCCCATAATTTTGTTACTTCAAGAATATTGTCTAAATGGAATTGTACAGTATGCAACTTTTGGGGATTACCTTTTTACACTCCACGTGATTCTCTGGGAACTCATCCAGAGTATCACCTGTACCAGTAGTTCATTCCTTCTTAATTGCTCAGCAGTGGTCCACGCTGTGGGCATACCATGAGCTAACCACTCACCTGACGCAAGACATATAGTTTCTTTTCGGTTTTTGCTATTATGCATAAAGCTACTGTAAACATTCATGTACAGGTTTTTGTGTGAATATGTCTTCATTTCTTTGGAGTAAATGCCCAGAGTGCATTTATTTACCGTGTCGTATGATAGTTGCTTATTTAGTTTTTAAAGAAATTGCCAAACTGTTTTCCCGAGCATCTGTATCGCTTTATATTCCCACCAGCCGTGGACGAGTAATCCAGTTTTTCTGCATCCTTGCCAGCATTCAACAGTGTCACCATTTTTTACTTTACCGTTGTGACATATATGTGGTTTACATATCTCGATGAGTTATAGAACATTGCAGACACACTTCTTATTTTGAGATGAAAAAACTTTCTAATATTACTAAAACCATCTCATTGTGGTTTTAGTTTGCATTTCCCTGATAAGTGATGTCAAACATAATTTTATGTGTGTATTTGCCATCTATATATCTTTTTTTTGTTTTTTTTTGGTGAAATTACTCAGTCATGTCATTTATTGTTGTTGTATGAAGCCCAAAAAATGTAGAATGAAACATATCTCAAATATATCTTGATTCTAACTGCAAAGAAGAGATCATTATTGCATTGTAACAAGCTCCAAAAGCTAGAAATTCCTATCCACCAGTAACTCTATGACTTACCCGAGGCAAGTCTGAACAGGCCTATACAGCTTAGTTCCTTGCTGTGCTGAAGGATATAACACAAGCTTACCTCATCAAGATGCTATGAAGAACAGTTTCTATTTATTGCAAGTACTGTATGATTTTTGTGTCTATATTGGTGCGGAACAGCACAGTTATTAGATGAGGACATCAAAAGACTTTGTTCCGTGAAGAATGCCACATTCTTAGAGACGGTAGAGGGATTATAGTGCATGTGTCAAGTTTTGAGATTGTGTTGCAGTTGAATCCAAAGATAAATTTGGAATTTAGCTAGGCCGAAAAACTGTCTCAGGCAATTTTTAATTGTGTTTTAGAGTAAGACTCTTAGATATCTCAGGATAGCCTCAAAACGTAAGTAGAAAATTAGTGAAATATACCTTCTACACTTAGAAGTTTATAGTTAGATGTGTATGCATTATATAAATAGAACATTACAGACATTCTTATTTTGAAATGAAAAAACTTTCTGATATTATTAGTATTCATTTACTTGAGACCTTGTGGAACTCAAAAGAATAACAATTGGAAAAAGAATTGTAACTAATTATGAAAAGATGATACTATTCATCTTACTCAAAGAAACTGGAGCTTAAAATATATACCGATTCACATGACGCCTTATGTAGAGTTTTTCGAAGGACTTGGGTTGAGTCATCTAAGCATTTTGTATCATAGGTTCCTCAAATGTAATTTGAAAGGAATGAAATAATTCAATGTTTTTCAAACATTTTGCTCAAGAACCTCTTTTCCCTCTTAAAAAGTAGGGACCTCAAAGAGCTCAATTTATGTTTGCGAAGATTATATCAGTCATTATTTTCAATATTAGAAATTAAAACTGAGAAAAAATTGAGATGTTTATTAATTCATTTAAAATAACTATTCTATTACGTGTTAGCATAAACTATACATTTTATGAAAAATAACTATTTTCCAAAGCATAATAAAATTTTTGAGAAGTGTGACATTGTTTTACAGTTTTTGAATCTGTCTAATGTCTGGCTTAATGGCTGGATTCTCATTTTTTTCTACACTTACTCTGTGAGATGCTGTTTTGGTTGAAGTGTGTAAAGAAAGTGTGGCCTCATGCAGATGTTTGCAAGAGATTCGAGCCTTTGAAACTTTAATAGTCTTTTCAGATAATTGTGGATAGTCTTCTTTGATACTACATGGAAACTTGACAGGTGATGATTTCCTAAAGCTTACTTGCTATGTGAAATCCAAAGCCATGGCAATGAATTTTTCATATCGAAGAATAATAGCTTTTGGGGGAGTGGCTCGAAGAAACTAACAGATTGTGCCACTGCCAAGTGATGTGACGAGGGCTTTTTTCCTTCATCTTTATTTGGCTCCTTTTCATCAATGAATAGTCTTTTATTATATTAAAAGAATGTTTACTTTGGGTGAGTTTTCTCAAGG